ACGAAGAATTTAACCGATGAATTGTCGTAGAAGTTTTATAATTGCTAATTGTTRTARTGAAAYAGTGCCTAACAACGACTGTTTATTTCGAAAAACACTGGTTTTTAGCGGTAAAAAAGCACAGAAAGTTTTAGTAATTGCTAATTGTTGTAATGAAACAGTGCATAACAACGAGTGTTTATTTCGAAAAAGATCTGCCAAATAGACATAAGCCCTCGCCTTGGCGTTTTATTTCAAATCTAGTCATTACTGCAGTTTATGTCCTCAATGTGGTCGAAATTGGTAATTCCCCAAATACCAGACGATTTATCAACGATTCGAACCTGAGCTGCCCGGCCTATAAGTGATGAAGTATCAAACACTCCTGGCTCCATTCCATTTTCGCTCTTTCTACTTGTTGCTTTGTCAACAACCAATCCATCAATCAGCAATTCGAGTCTGTTTGTATTGTTGTGAGAGCCTCCGCCAATTAGAAAGCTTAGTTTTGTTCCCTTGATTAAAAATGGAGGCGAGGTCGCCGTGCCAATAGGTGAATCTCCTTKTGTTCTCACTGGATGAGTAGGACTGGGTCTATTTTCGAATGTTGCTATATACCAGTTCCCTTTGAGGTTGGATGAACTATGGCCTCGAAGGAGAGAATTGTCCCCGTATGTTGGCTGGTTGTTGAATGCTGTCCCTGTCAGAGTCCATCCGTCCAATCGTCCGGTTTCAAAGTCAAACAGAATGCATTCTATAAATTGACATGAGATGAATTTTAATGTACAAGAACATTCAACACCATTTTTGAAATTGTTGCTTCTGATTTTGTTGGGGAGGTAAAATTTAGAAATCGCACATCCTCACTTAGATTTTAGAGTCGAGAGGGAGCGAAGGCTTAATTTTTCTATGAGTGATGTGATCTAATGTGAACTTAAATCCCCTTCACTGACAAATCAGKGTTTATAAAGGCAAATCAAAATTGCTTTGGCGATATAATATGTAACTATTTCTTCAAATAAACCCTTAAAGCGTTCTCTTTTACGCTATGTTAGCTTCAAAACCATTMTTTTATCCATTAACAGCCCGCAGTGCAAATTCAAGAGAACTGTGAGTTGAATTTCCGCTGCATACACACATTTGAGGCTCACTCACTGTAAAAGAGACCGCGATACTGAGCTATATACTGACACTAGTAAAATGACCGTTGAAACAAGACGGCTACGGTATTTAAATTAATGTTTGGACTTTTCCGTGAAAATTATCTGGGTAAACTTTTTGCGTCAATTTCATGGAAACCGGTCATTTTTGACACATTTGAAACGTTTTCGAAGAAAAAAGTAAAAATTGCTTATTTTTTATTAGGTTATTTCTTGAGTTATTATACATTGTATACTTATTTGATCTAGCTTCCACACATTGCGATATGATAGTATAAAAAAATTGACTGCGAATATTGGGATTTCTTTCCACGGGCCAYAACTGTGGCAGTTTGTTTTTCGTGGAAAAGTCATTATGTGAAAATTTCGTTATCATTATAAATCTATTTATTCCTAAGGAGGGGGCCGAATGAGCCCTCCTTGTGATGGGCTCCGGCAATAATAATGATCCTGTGCTCCTTAATAATCCAATTTCGAATTCTCCAATGCATTGTGTTAGCCTCATTTGTGCGGAAAATATTCATAATTGTGAAAATAAAATTGTGAGATTTCAAATCAATCATATCGTGTATTTCYTTTCAAATTCAATGCTTTTTCTCGTGCTATCAATAAAATAAAAGAATATGTTACTTGGTTTTGAGTGGTTAGCACAGAGCAAAGCAGTACTCGAAATTAAAATAGATTATCGAGAACTAACATTGTATTGGCGCACTTACTTTCAACTTCACAATGCCTTCCATTGGAATTAACTAGTGGACAAGTGCAGGTGTAGTTGGTTCCTCCATCTTTTATGGTACATTTTCCGCCATTTTGACAAGGGTTTTTTGGAAAACAGAGAGTCTGCCAAAAAAAATCCGGTGCTTCATGTCAGAGCAGAAGAGTAGGTGGTGAAAAGTTTTAAAATTACAAAAATTGCCACGTGACTTTTTCGCAAAATATCGAGAAACTTACACATTTTAAACACAAAACCACAGAGATTTATTCATTTTGAATACGAGAGTTATTGATCCGCTGTAACTTTTTTTATGTATGCGGAATCGATTTCCAATAAATTCCTTTTTTTTTCTTTTTTTTCATTTTAAACACAAAACCACAGAGATTTATTCATTTTGAATACGAGAGTTATTGATCCGCTGTAACTTTTTTTATGTATGCGGAATCGATTTCCAATAAATTCCTTTTTTTTTCTTTTTTTTTCTTTTTTTTTTTCTTGTTGTTACTTTAATTAATATTTTTTATTATATATTACCTGATATTGTGATTTTTCTAATAATAAAATAGGCATGAAATAATCGAAAATTCCCCTTGTTAGACTAAAAAAATGTCTATAGTGAATAATTCAAAAATATTGAGTGCTTCAAATAAATTCTTCGTTTTTCGATTTAGTATAATTCACTGCGCTGGACATTTTTTTTGTATTCTCCTGAAACCTCCGCGTGTTACATTTCACCGATAAAACGCACGGCAATCCATCCTTTATTCCTTAAATTATATTAATCAATGTAAAAAAAATCGCTCGCTTTGAACTCTGTAAAATTCATACAAATATCGCAAAACTCTTGTGGAAACGTTTTGTAACTTTCTTAAAAACCCTATATAAGATCATGGAATGATAATATAGTTGTAATCAYATAAACTTTATTTACGGGGTATGGACACGATATCTCAGATTTACTGAAGACCATTATTTTCAGAACTAATAATTAAATATATAATTTTGATGTGGGCCGAAAAATATCATACCTGTTCTCTCCAGGGATACTATTTGTCGATAGGAATTTTTTTTTTGATGATTTTTTCAGTTTCACTCCTGATCTATTATCAGGATGCAACTGATCAATGAACTGATGGTTAAAATCTCTACTGACATTTTTTAATCTTAACTTCGACATAACTAACCTCCAACTGCAAAAACGTCGACCTTGCTTTTGGCACAAGATGTTTMTCAAATCCCGACCCTGTCCAGTTGAAAAGCTCACAWTGATATCGTGATCGATCCTCAACCATATTCACAGAGAAACATTCCTTGTTTTGTATGCACTTGAAACAACATTCTTTCGTGGTAGCAGTGATTTCTTTGAACAAAAGACTGCCGGGCTTATAGAACGACTTTCCTTCTGAACTTTTGTAAAAACTTCGAATGGTTATTTCTCCTTTCTTGTAAAGATTGATCGCAGAATGTCCACACTTGTAGCCTGCGTAGCTGGCCCTTCACACTTGACGACGAAAAAAAAAAAAACTAGGATAACTGTCTTAGGCGACATGTTATAAGCTGAGTTTGCTCTTGATTAATTCAATAAGGGAATTTCAAAATAACTTTTGAATGACTAATGTGCCAATGATCAATTATTAACAAGCGCCTGTATAAATATCAACCTGTGCTAGCCAGCTATAGTTTTACCTTTTCTCCAATTTGTCGTGTCGCAGTTTCCAGTCTCTCTCGAACCACAGGAAGCCATATCTATTAGTTTGCAGTCTCTCTCGAACTAAAAATTTTCTCAAGAATCCAAAATGGCGGGTACTTCGCCGATAACAGAGAAAAAAGTACTCAAAAACTATCAACAAGAAATACCAAAAGCTTTCTCATTGAAGAATTGAACTAGGATTTTGCATTTGTGAAGTTTCAAGCTTGCTAATTATCATTTTAAGACGATTTTGCATCGAAAATAGTCTCGCTTTCCTCACCAGTCCAGCTCGATGATTATTCAGTACAGCTTCAATATGAAATCAGCTCAAATACTGGCATTTTTTCCATATTTATAGACAGCAAAAGRTATTTTTCTGTTTAAATGACAATGTTTTTATTGTTCAAATTCAAAGAAATTGCTTTAATATCATTGGGTTTTTTTATTAGTTAAAAATGACAAAGTACAAGTTTTGAAATTGAACTTTGTTTTGCTTCAATTTTTAGATTTCTTTTGTACGAAAGAAAGGCTAATAAAAACAAARATTTAAAGAATGCACCCATGCCATCTAGAATGCATTGCTATGTAAATAATAATAAAAGTGAAATCGCTAACCAAGAAGTAAAGAGCTTCCATAAATATTATTACAAAATACATTGCAAATGTAGGACAATCACTATCGCAAAAAGATTATGGTTGATAGTTGATATATGATAAGATTATAGCAGACAGTGAAGGTTAACGATTAGTTGCCAGTAAAGAATATTGCGGTGCACGATAAGAATTGAACTGCAAAGAAAACTAAGGTATTCTACGGCATATTTTACTTTCATATATACATACCATAAAATGGAGTGAATTTTTCACGAGTGGAAACAAGCAAGGGAAGAAAATTAAGAAAATGCATGTGACCATATATATGTATGACGATTATGATGACAATGATAAGGGACTGGGGAGGGGGAGGCCGCAAAACCAGATTTCTTAAGCAGAAAATTAGTCAGAATCCCCACCACCCCACCCCCACCCCTCTGCCATATTAGAAATAACGTCGAACCCCCCTGCCAACCATTAACTTTAGTTATAAAACAAGCACAAGYGAGTCCAGTCAACTATAGCAACGCAAAATTCACTAAAGACGAACCCAGATGCAAGAGGTGGCTTACTCATCTGGATCCAAGTGTAAAGACAAACAATTTTCAGGTGAGGAGCTGACGGGGTCTGTTCTGCTAAATAACTGTTCTTGTATGAATTTGTTCTTGGGTAAATTAAAGAGATTTTACATTGGCTACCTTGTTGAAAATCTCACAAACAAATGTGGCGCCCTTGCTTCTTTCAAAATATTTTTGTTAGTGGCAAAGGTTTTTTAGGTCCAAAAAATGCTTAAGTAACGTTTTAATGGTCAAAAACGACTTTGATATTACTTGTGCTTGTTATGTCTAATAAATCATTTCTTAGCCTGAAAGAACAGACCACTGTTAAAACGTACTTTTCTTAATAACTGAATATTTAAACCCTGTGACAACTACATCCTCAATTTATGTGACAAAATTAAAAAAAATCAATAGTTGAAAAAAATTTCTTCCCTTGGCCAATTTCAATCCCACATCAACGAGTCTTTGTGCCAAATTTGAAGAAAAAAGACCAGATTTCAAGGCTTTTTGAAGAAATGCGGCGACATTAAAAACAATCCTAAAAACCTAGCACCGGATTTAAGAAATAAAATCTATATGTGACCTTTCTGGGTATTTTTTTTGTGAGAAAATTCGAAAATCCAATCATGTATTTTTGCCATTGAAGAGTTGAAGTTGAGCATTAAAATAGTATGGCGATCCATGTTTTCACCACAGTTCGCTCTAAAAAACTGGGCCTCGCGCATAACTTATTTTGTTAATAAAAAACCTAGCACCGGATTTAAGAAATAAAATGTATGTGTGACATTGCTGTGTATTTTTCGTGAGAAAATTTAAAAATCCAATTATGTATTTTCGCCTTTGAAGAGTTGGCGTTGCTTCGCATCCGTTTGCGTTTCGGGATTCCTGTCCCGACGATGAACGGATGCAAAGGAGACTACTTCTGTAGGCACAAGCAACAAAAATCAAACTTGAATTTTTCAAATTATTGCTTTCTTATTATATGTT